TAATACTGACAAGAATGGTATGTCAAAAGAAGAGTAAATAACAGTTTTCTATGGCTTCAGTACACTTTTGGCTGATATTTTATGCTTGAAAAGGAAGCCAAACCAATAATAATAGGTGTTTTAGTTCAAATGGAGTTGCTTTCATTCAGTTCTCTGTTCTTATTAAAGAAAATATGATCAGCCAAGATATGTAATTTAAACTCTGAACTAAGAGCTCTAAAAGCAGTGAGATACAGGAATTAAATATAAAATTCAGCATTTACGTAAAGAAAATTAATACATAAGCATCACTAAAACCATGCACACAATCTGCAAGGAAAATGGCAAATGCAGGGCAGCATTAATTGGTCTGCACCTCCACGTTAATAGTTGTGACTTCCTTACTGACACAGCACAAGGCAATGCCAGTTTACGAGGCAGGGTATCTGTTAGGAGCAGCACTGAGACTGCCAGATGGATTCAAGATTGAGTATTGAATAGTTGGGACCCAGATTGATCTGCACCAAACCCCTCACATGCTTATTTTGCAAAGAAAATTGCCTCAAAAGTAACAGGAAAAACGGTCAGGTTATGCTTATCATCTTGCATTTGGAAGCAGGCATGTCTTAGAAATAAAACAACTGCCCACTCTGCATATTAGACATGAATTTTCTGCAGAAAAGGATGGGTCTCTTCTTTTCAACACCAGGCATTCAAAATCAGTCCCTGGGTACCTACCACCAACTGTAACGGATCTGAAAACGTTTTTATCTGAATACTGGTAAATGGTATCCTGGGCACTAAAGCACCAAATAAAACTGATTAGGAGAAAAAAAAAAGTCCAGAACAAAAACAAAAACCACCATTTGATTAGACTTAGACTTTTCTCAACCATTTATGTTGCTTGAAGCTGAACTAAAATTAGTATTCTGCTTTCCAAGCGCATATTACTGAATCAGCTTCACATCCTCTACAGAACAAGTGAACTGATGAATCATTTTAAAATCAAATAAAGCCCAATCTAATCTAGTAATTTATGTTTTGCTGTAGTATAAATATTAATAAATGCTTTATCTTTCTAACAATAACAAATTCTCAATGCTATCCTTGCATTCTGCATGTTTGGATTAAAAAACAGTTCTTACCTACACTCTTGCAAGTACTATTCTGCAAAACAATCTAACCTCCTGATTATTTTCAGTTTATGACCTCCTTGTTTGTTGATTATTTCTTCAAAATTAAATTACACCTGAAGCGATATAGCGGATATCAATTACTAAAGACCCATTTCTTCTTCCCAACTTCATGTATATTTATTTTGTGCAGCAACAAGGAAAGCAATCACAGACACCAAGCGTATAAGATACCAAGTATCATAGCCAAATCTGTGTGTTGATAAGTATCCAAAAATCTCCATTTATTCAGTTTACCCCAGCAATCTACAGCAATATGAAAAGTTATCCATTTACACCAAAATCTATATATGAAACAAAAATTTGGCTGAGACTTCATTTTCTTTAAGATAATTTGGTTTGGGTCTTATCCATAAAAATTATTTATTAACAATTCAGAGACTAATTATTAAAATTCAGGAAATTAACATACATTCCAAACTTCATTAGAGATTAGATTTTTTTTTCCATTTAGAAATCTATTACTTTTTGGTTAAAAGGTGTATTTACTAGAAAAATGATAAATGTTATAAAAAAGATTTATGTAAATTTGCTTCCGAGTTATGGTCAACAATTAGCTAACAAATTAATCAGCAATGGCTAGCAGAGAAAAAAAATAACGCTATTATCTAAAGATTACAACTTATTTTGTTAAAAATCTACTAAAGAAAGGTCAGTTTATTCATCATGATAGATTATCAGTAAAATTTATAAGCATTAGCATTTTTCTCCTTGCTAGATACCTTGACTTTGATATGACACATATTGAATGAATCATCTAAGATGCAGGCACCAGGCAAGATATATCTTAATGCAGACAGGTCGGCGACATCAACCCTAATGGTCCTTATCTTAATCTTGTTTAAAAGCATCTTAGATTTCTGAGTAATCTTTTCACCTCCTGATATTCTCTTTTATAGAGTGTTTTTGCTGGAGTTGCTACTGATTTTAACGTAAATGCATTTTTGTTGCATAGTATCACCAGTTTATTTTTTAGTAATGGTAAAATTTATCTAAGTTTGTAGCTTAGTAAATATAAGATTAAGCTGCTTTTTTTCTTCTTCTTTTTTTTTTTTTTTAAGTATGTCAAAGTGATAGCACTTCAATTACCAAAATGCAGATTTGTATACTACTGTTGATCACTCCATACATGAAACATGGCATCACAGCTCCTTATAAGACAGTGACCTGTATCAGATGTAGAGATGTATATCCAATATATGACCTGAACTGCTCTTATCTTTTTCTACTTTTGTCTTTCTCCTACAGTTGCTTTAATACACAAAGAAAAAAAAAAGGCGGGGGGGGGGAATTATTTGAATTAGTTGAATTATTTGAACAGTTGAATAGTTGAATATATTTGAAATATTGGCAGATATTCTTTATCTGCTAATAAACTGTTCTTCATACTAATCCATATGTCAGGGAAACTTATATTTCTTGATATTTTGACATGAAATGTTTATGACTTTTTCACATTAATGCGTAGAGCAACAGGAAGTGCTATTGTATATGCTATATATATTGGGTATATAAGTGTTATACCAACTATTTTAATGTTCAAAAGGTGGGATGTGGCTTTGCAGCGCTTGAGAGTTGCTTTCTCTCATGTGCGGTGCATTTCTATTCTGTCACTTGTTTCTCATCGATTATCTAATAAGACTTCTGAAACCACCCACCCAAGGAGACAAATTGATGGTGGTGTAGCAACAGCTACCCCCCCATCATCAATCTGAGGAGCAGCTGAGGGGCTCGCAGCCCTGATAGCTGCTCAAGCTTTGATTAAGGTCTGTTGCCCACCCAGACAGCTCAAGAATATCCAGCAAACCACCCAGTTTCTTTGGAGCATTAGGAAGTATTTTCTATGATGTCTGCTATAGTTCCAAAATAGCTTCTAGAGATTACTGTTGATTTTCATAGTTACAAGTCATCTGCCTACCAAGATAAGAAACTATTATCACTTTCTTGCCTGATACCATAAGCTTAGGCAAACTAGGACCAAGACTGGAGTTGTCAGAGATGTCTTTTCCACAGGTACAAAGTAATCTAAAATCTAAAGACAAAAATCAAGAGTAATAAATATTGCTTATAAAAGGCCCTTAAATTCCATCCTGGGAAGTTCTAACAGTTTAATTTGCTCCACTTCCAGAGCAAACTCCACACATTTATTTCTGACATGAAGGAACGACCCAACCAACAGCACAAGCAATAGGAGAATATCGGCTGTCTCCTGCCTCTGTTCATTGCTACAAACTGTGTCGAGTAGGCAAGTTCTCCACCTCTGTTTCCACAGGCTACTGTTACACCCTCCTTCCTTTCCCTTACATTGAAACCAAAAACTCTTAATTCACCAAAAAGGCAAAAGCTTGCAAAAAGGCAAGAGCTATATTTCATTAAAGTGAATGAAAGTGCATGAAATTTAAAGCACACTGAAGTGAATAAAAGTACATTCAGATGCAATTACCATCTCTAGTACTCTCCTCATATACAAAGAAGGAAGTTAACATTCAATTTACTCCCTGAATTAAGTGAATAATGAGCTGGATAGGATTAAACAATTCTTTTTAAAAGCTAGACTTTTTTTTAAGGAACTGCAATTTCCCAACAAAAATCTCTGAAAAGCAGTTTTGAAATGCAAATGGCCTAGTAAGCAGTATTCTGTATGATGAGAAAAGAAAAAATATCCTGTATTCTGTACTAATATGCTTATGCTTATAACATTATTCTATATTTTCAACATATTAATCTCTTCGGCTTAAAGGCAACCCAATGCAGAATAGAAGAACTGGAATGAAAAAGGGCAGCCATGGAAAAATATTGGCAATATGATTTTAAAATATCAGCCTTCAATTGTCTGCAATTTATATTTATCAATACTTTCACCGGGTTCATGGAAGTGTTCCCACAAAGGAAAAACCACTCGATGTATTTAGCCAGATGACCTTTCAGTGAAGCAGAAGGGCAGTGAGAGGGGGAAGGGTACCAAGCTGCCCAGTAATCAGTCTTTTTTATTAAATGTCAGTTGCAAACTCTTTCTATGCTTTCCATTCAGATTAGTATTCGCATAAAAACTTTCCCAAGCATTTGCCTCTCTCTGTATACGTATATAAGTTCAGCTCTCACATACTGCTCAACATTACATGCTTCAACAGAGAATAGTGATGACAGTGAACACTGAAATGTGTCCTCACTCAATTTCACTCATAAAATTAATTAATTGAATAAAAAATACTTTTCGTTTATTTCACTTGGTTGAATTTTTTAAAATACACTCATATCTAGTAATCTGCTTATCTTTCCCCTCAAAGATGGTACATTACACAGTCTAATGTGGTCACCTAATGGCTAGTGGCAGCAACTGCATGATAAAACAATTCTGCCCTTACAGACAGCCAGTGAAGAAAATCATGAATTGCAGTGTCTTCATTTAAATAGCAAAAGTAACATGAAGATTTTCATCAAAGAAAAAAATAAAAAATATTTTTTATTTTAAGTTTTTGTTTTGTTTTGCTAATTAAAGAAACTTTTAATTAGTGCTATAAGACAGACTTGAATTACAGATTTATAATGCACATTTATCCTCCTGTTCCTTAGAGCTAAGCATAAACAACAAGAACTAATGTGAAAGAAAGCAAAAGATGATAGTTTTGAAGTACCAGGAATATACTGATACATGAAGATACTTTTCATGAAAACAAGCTTGCATGCCTGCCAATTACTGGATCCAAGAAATTATGATATATTTTATATTTATATATGATGATACATAAAATAAAAGGTTACACAGCACACTTCCATTTAGTTTATTTATTTATTTAAAGGAAGAATGTGGCTTAAGATTTCTCTTACCTTATAAGATGGCAAAAAACACAAAATTCCTTGGCCTATTGTATGACACACCGAAAGCAGAAGTGCTCCCACTTCATCCTGGAATTCAAAGGTCTCTGTATGCTGGAATGTAGCACAGAGCTTCCGACCATTAGGGCCTGCTCCAATGGTGCCAACCCAAACCTGGTGTATTTAGAATTAAAAACATTAATACCTAAACTGTTGACACAAACAGTATTAAAATACATTAGGATAAATAACAACACTTTACATGTGAAGTAAAATAGTCTGCTATTTCTAAATAAAATAGTTCTAATACTAAGAAACAGAAGAGAAAAAGAGTGCAGTAATTGCCAATAAATGGATCTAACTAAAATAGCATAGCTTCAACATTTTCTTTGGAATAAATGTCTAAATATTTCTCCCCTTTTCACTTGAAAATTCACTTTAAAACATCATTAAATCCAATAAAAGTCTGTTTTATACACCTCAGGAAAAGAAACAACCCTGCAGATTTTTACCTGCGAGTTCCGAATGACATGATTTGCCTCAAGCTGAATAGAAAACTTGACACCGAGTTCTGAAGAAAACGAATCCATTGGAGAGAGCGTACCAGATGTCAGAACAATTGTTCTAACATCAGTTAAGTCTGAAAAAGCCTAGGTTAGAGAAAGAAAAGGAGTTTAGACAATCTATACAACCATTTTAAGAGATCAAATGTATTTGTGACCAGTCGAGTTACATACATACAAGACCTTTTGCTTCACACTCAGCTTACCACAGCTGGATTCAAGCACCAAAAGTTAAGCATGTGGACTAAAGCTTTCTGCCGTGAATTCCTTTTATGTTTGGTCCTTGCAAAGAAGCCATTTGTGTCTGAAACATCAGACTGGTTTTCGCTGATCCAAGCGTAAGTTTGCTGCAAAGCAACTCTGTAGTCATCTGCATACCTATACAGACATATGTAAATATTAATAAAAACAATCAAGCAAATTCTAATATATTTATAATTTTAAGCCAGCATTAAACTCATAAAAAGCAAAGGCAGTGCTGCCACAATGTCATTCCAATTTGAGCACAGAACGTAATTTACGCAACATACATCTTAAAAAGGTAGGTATGGATCATATAGTGTGTAAAGCAATGTTTGCTAGAAGCATAAAACTACTTTCAACAGTTGTTGGTTTCCCTTTTAGAAAAAAATAGTAAAGCTTTATTATAATTTATAAGTAAAAACAAGGTTTAAATCAGAAAGTTTTAGTAACTGCCGGCATTAATAGTCAAGACATCAGTGGTGAAATTGTAATTGCTAGAGAGATAAAAAAAAAATCTGTGCATGTTTAACTTGGCAATGCATTAAGAAAATTAACACATAACCTTCAAATAAATTTGTTCAATACTTGAATTCACTTAAGAATGCAAAAAAAAAAAAAAGGTAGTATTTAAATTAGTTCTCAATAAATTTTTCCCACATAAATAGATTTTCCAAAGCTTCTCAAGTGTTTGGTTTTGCTCAGCAGAAGCCAGGAACCATAAAAGAGGTGTTATACAAATGAAAGAGGCAATTTGGCAAAGCAGCAGAATTCAGTCTGTGTTCAGCACAGCTACCTGGCTCCCAGCAGCACCTGCTTGTTCTTCAGCATACATACTAAAGCTATTCAAGCATTCTATAAAACACATTTGCATTTATAAAAGGAAAAAATTATTATCAGAGACCTATGAAATGTGCTTGCTTGAAATTTTAGTTTATTTTTTTATGAAGGGAAAAAATAGCACAAAGTTCTGGCTATGTCTTTTTACTGACCTGCTATTATCTTTAAAAAGATATAAAAGAATCATGAATAACCCTTTTAGCATAATTTGAGTAGCAGGGCTCACAACTGGTATCTCAATAACTTCTTCTTTACCAAACATCATTACTTTTTCTTCCTTTTCCAGGACAGCAGCAAAATGTTTCTGTAAGGGAAAAATTCCACATTAACAACATTTTAAATACCTTCCCAAAACAAAAGCTAATACAAATAATCAATATGTTGCTTTGAAACAACAAGCAAGATAATCATGTTGTTTTAAAAGTTCACCTAACATAGTTATGAAATCAGACTGAAGATAAAATTGGAAAGCAAAGCAACCATACTTTTAACATGCTTGTTTTCCACATAAAGAAAAGCTTGAGAATAGTGTAATATGTTTCAACAGTCAATAAATATGCAAGTAGATAGTACAGACAAGATGATCAGTGACTAAGTTGTTCAATTTAAATAATTTTACACGATTAATTAGATACGTTAAAGCACTGATTCTCCACCAGTTCCAGTACTTTAAATGCCTAACTCCTGGTTTTCATCAGGTATAATTTTCAGACAACTTTGTGAAATTGTCTTAATTTAAATGATGTGCTAACTTTATCTTATGTATATTTCAAGATACTTAGTAAGATTATCAGTGTTATGCACTCTATCATTCATTTACATGGCCTACAGCATTACCTGTAGAACGGGAAAGGTAATATTCGTTATTCCCATGTTGTGGAAAAAGGTGAGCATTTCTCTTCCGCTCCAAACTTTACAAGAAGTTTCATACCCTCTTTCTACTAGCTGACCTGAGCTCTCCTGTAACCAGCTAAAGGAGGGAAATCAGAAATAATTCCAGCATTAATTTTAGTGAGATTTTAGAGATAGGTATCAAGCCAACTAATCTTCAAAAACCCCACCATACTTTGATGATGATAAACATCTGCAGATAAACATGTGGAGAGATGCTGTTTTGCATTAAGCAGTTTTTACATCTTTGAACTGACTCCTATGAAACTACTTGTGATACAGCTCATGGAAACAAAAGGAAAACATGCCCCCATATGCTATATTTTAACACCAGGCAACGCCTTTTCATCAGGAAAAAGGATGAAAATATAACCTGTTCCTATGACAAAGTATGTCAGGCACATTTAAGAAACATTTCTGTAGTATTATTTCCATTTTTAAAGTTGTACTCTTCGAGCAACTCATTAGCATTCTAGATGATGCCCTAACTGATACTCCGATTGATTTGTTATCTTACCAATTTCAGGCTTACTTGGTAAGATACAAACACTGAAGATTTCTTAACTATAAAATGACTTTTTTAGTATTTACACAAAGTTTTGGTACATATACCAACAAAAAGTGCATACTTCAACTTATCTGCAAATGTTTGCAGCTGTCAAACTTGCAATCTTTTGAATTTTGAAGTTATTTCAAAATCAAGCAGCATTATAATCCTCCTGACAATGCAAACTGCGACTGGTTTTTCTATGAACATGACCTAAGTATGCAGATGACCTCATCCGTTGCAGAGCTAATATTTTCTCTAACTAAATGTGTCCTTCATCATTTATTCAGTATTATGGCACTCCCACTTTGACAGAGCAGACAAGCTTGCTCCTTCTCTGGAAATGCCAGAGCTGCCTTTTTCATCAACCAGCAGGAGGCATCAGGAAGACACCTGTCATTTCTACCTCTGTAAAACCACTTACTCATTATCAACAAAAGCAACGACGCTTAGGGGCTGCTGTGGTTCCAGATTTCCCATCCTGTCACTCCAGGACAGGATATCCAAATTATTCAATGGAACAATTAAAAATTGTGTATAAATATTAAAAATAAGTCATTTTATAGTTAAGAAATCTCACTCTACTGAACAAACTGACTAGTACAGGTAAACCTGCATGGTCACCATGAGGCTTGCCAGCCTATCTCTGTGGTATACGTTTAGATTCCTCAGAAAGGTCATTTTAGTGCCTCATTGGCACAAGGCCCATGCTTAAGTGCTTTCTGGAATCAGGGCCTGGGATATTTATATCTGAAATAAGATTTTTCTAATTACCCACGCTTTTGGCAAAGCCACGTCACTTTATGCAATAACCTATTACCAATTACCGTCCATCTACACCCAGCCTTCTGCTTTCCAACAACTGCTTTCGTACTATTGGCAGATTTGCCAAGATAATCAACCTTTAGTTTTTCTGATAAGGTTAAAAAGCTTGAGGCAATCAAATCTTTAAGCCATGCCTTTCTGATCTTTTACTAAAATTTTACATTTGAGACAATCAAGGTGGGATAATTACCTTCAGAAAAAGAAGAAAAAAATCAAGATACTGCCTCACCTTTACTGTGTTTTATTTGATGCAATCCGTAACCCATATATTGCATCAGTAAAAAGAAGATAATGTTATTTTTAAAATACTAATTCATAAAATAAAATTAAAAAGAGTTGCCTTACTTTGCCAGGGAGCAGCACACAGCCCGTAGGGGCTCATGATCCTTCTGCCTGATGTTGTTATTCACCATGAGATCCAGCTCCTCTCGAGCAGATCTTAGCTGATTTTCTGTCACACTGTAGCTCACTGACTCCCGAGCAGAGTCCTCAATATTATGGGCTTCATCTAAAATGACTACTTGGCCTTTTAGGTTAATATCCATCTACAACACAAAATAATCGTCTAGTAAAACAGACTGAAATGGCAATCAGCAGGTTCCTGTCACAAAGCACATATTCTGCATCGTGGTGCAAGGCAGAGAAAGCTGTTTTCAGCTTTTTGATCAAATTTCTGTAACTAGAAGACAACCAGGAAAAGAAAAATAAGCCCTATCTCAGTCTAGCTGGATATGGTCTGAACCTACTGCACTCTCTGTAACTCATGCATTTGTGACGTTTGCAAAGATTCCGTTCTGTTGAGAGGAAAACCCACATGACTAATCAGCTAAAATATAAGACTAATGAAAGTTTTACTTGCTATACAAAAACACTCTTTTAAAAAGAAAGAAGAAAAAAAAAAATCTCTAAACACTGTTCTCTGTAGCTAATATTTTGGATACAAATGTTTTTGTTAACCGTTGCACCGACCATTATGTCCCATATTATGTCTTTATTGTAACTTCAGTTACTGCAATACTTGACTTACAAATACACTTACGCTCTCTCGTATCTGTGGGTCTAGGAGATAATTGTAAGGACAAAATACAATATCTGCCCCCAGCATGAGCTCCCTGGCCGCAAAATAGGGACAGGCACGAAGCTTCTTGCCCAGGCTCACAAGATCTTCAATGTCCCACGCTTGACATTTCTGATGTGCCAACTGTAGCGTATGATACTCACTGAGTTTATGAACACCATGATAATAAAGACAAGACTTGCCCTACAAACAAAAAAGGACAGACAGTTAGAAACAATAATAAAAACCAAATTTAAAATCTCAAAGTTTTTATGTGTATTTAAACTTTGACTCATGAAAATGTTCCTAACAACAGCTATTTATGTGGGACAATGATAAAAACAAATCATGTCACAAAGAAAACAAGCAAACCCATGTTCCAAAAACTATAAATCAATAAAGAACATTTTCTTCTCTTTCATCCATAAAATCAAGGACAATTCAGTCTTGCTAAGAAGAATAATCTAGCAATCATCAAATGGGTGAAGAATTCAAAATCATGAAAAAATACATCCAAGTACCCACAAAAATACACAAAATACAATATATTTTTATCCTTTGTCAATAAATACATTAATATATTCACCCTCATACATTAACGTATTCTAAATATCACTCATTCCAACAGTTCACACAATTATCTTTCATTCAAATACGCTTAAATGAATTTTCTGAAACAAAACTACTCACCTGTTTTCCTTCCAGCAGCTCTACACACATTTCATTCCTATTACTAGCACTACTAGATACCACTGGATGAATACAGGTATAATCCCGGCTAGAAAGAATTGTCATAGGGACACCGGAATACGCTGTTCTCTTCAACTCTCTGGTAATCTGGGATATTTGCTTGTGTGTTCGTGTGCCAAAAAATATTTTGGGGATGGATGTCTGATCCCCGTTTTCTTTCTTCTTTGCCTTACTAGCATCTTTTTCAGTTTCTTTTCCAGAAGAACAGGAACACTGACTGCATGGGTCAGAAGACTGCAACAAAAAAACAAACAAAACTAAAAAAGATCACGAAAAAATGAACAGGGCAAATTTGTTTATAGTCTGCTTGGAAAATGCTTTCTGGGATAGTTCAAGATAGCCTGGGAAATCATCAGGTTAGCCTATCAAGTTGCAAATGGTTTGTTTTTACATGTTAAAGTATTTACAACACGTCCTCATGTCTAAAAAGCTGAAGATACTTTCAGCAATCACTGGATACAACTTTATCATAACCCAATCATAGGAAAGATTACTGCCTTAGCTGAGGACTGACACACGAGAATAATGTAAAGAAACTTTTCACAGGCAAATATTTAAACACAAGTATAACCAGAAGTTTCTTTTAATTCCTGAGAAACACCATTTTTCATTTCATTCATGATACAAGAACATAATTATAATGATATAATTATGACACACTGGAAGGACTTAGATAAGATTATAATAGATTGTGCGAAAATAGCAGACAAATGAAAACCAAATAATTCTGAAGTAACCTTGTCCATACACATCTCCTACAAAAGGAAAATTATTTTTTTTCTAGTGCAAAATAGCTTGTAGCTGGTTTTCAGTTTGATAAGTAACAATGTGTCCTTGCCCACTCCAATATTGCCCCCTCTCCACTTAATTGTAATGAGCAAGAGTAACCATTATAAACAAATGCTAAGTCGGGACGCGTGTTACACCACAATACTGGGGATCAAGCTGTCTTTTAGCCTCCACTCTGGAGAAAATCGAGCTCGTATTACCTACAGTCCCACTCAGCCTTGTCCGCCATTAAATATTACAATACATGATAGAATGCGAGTAAATGTAACCCTGCTGGAGCTGTCACTCACTGGGATAAAAGGTTCACTGATGTGCCAAATAAACAGGCCCTCAAAGCAGATAAAGTTACACCCATGCTGGAATTGTTACATTCCCTTCTCGGGTTGCCAGTAACAGCAGATTTCATTACGGTGTGCTGCCACATTAAATAGCCAGTTCCAAATATCCTGCCTTCTATATCGAATAATTACTTATTCACTGAAAGGATAAAAAGAAGAGTTATGAATGGGGCTCTTGTCGACAGTGAAGCAGGAAACAGCTGACATATGGTATATGTTACATATGTGGCAATATTCAACTCGGCTCGCACTCACACAGAAAAATGGAATGCAAACCCTACCTTGATATTCCTATCATCTACATTCTATTCTGCTCTTTGAAATAATGGGCACATTTGCATACTAACAACTAATATAGTAGAAGCCGAATCCGCTTACTACATATACTTTAAAAAAGGCATTTATCTCTTCATTTTGATTCAAGACAGATTGGTCACGTTTTCAAAAGAAAAAGGAACATGCATAATTCAATGATGCTAAAAATATCACTCATACTTCGCTGCTAATAAGAAGCCTCATATCTAATTTTCCAAATAAAAATAACAGAAAAACATTAAGGCCGAACAGGCGACTACTGTGAAAAAGTTGCTCTAACTGATCCTGTACAATCAAGACAATAGGAAAATTCTGTTAAAATATTTACATGTCAACGTTCTTTTATGATAGGCTTAGAAAAATAATGTTTCTTTCTTTCCTTAAAATATTTAAATGAGTGTTTTTGTGTGTAAGGTTACAGTATTTTACAGGTGACCTCATATATTTTTCTTTAAATATATGAAATTGATATAATAATGGCTTTAAAAAGCACTTAATCCACTATGCCATCTTTAAAATATTACCCTTTTAAAATGTCTTCAAAGAGAAAGTTGTAAACTCAGACTGATTTTATAGTATCCAGTAAAAGCATAAAACTGCCCTGCAGTAGTTATTTCTTAAAACCACGGATGCTATTAGCCCAGTGTAAATATATAAGTAAATATAATACAGAATGTCCTTTATAATGAAGAGAAACATTAAGAAGACGGTTACAGCATAATTTCATAGTTAACTTCATGTTATTTGCATTTTTGCATTTCAAGAATTCTTTATTCTTTAAAAATGGTTTCATCATTCCTAAAGTTTATTAAAAACTATTTTAACTCTATATTTCTATGAAAGAAATTACTGTTGACCTCCCATAGCAAAAACTAGCGTAGTACTGTTAACCTCCCATTATTATTGAAAAAGCAAAGATGTAGAATATTTAATAAATGGACAAAGTGATAATTATTAATATGGTAGTTGACACGGCAGTGTTGCCTCAAAAGGTATAAATCTTTAAGAGTTAAAACACAGAGATACTTTCTAACTTATAATAAAACAAAAACAACTTGCCAACATTCATGTGAAGCCCTATAGACTTTTATTTTTTAATTATTATAAATGATTAATACTAAGACAACTGAGAAGTGTCTCAGTAACAGTCGCAGCCTGACATCCTGCGAGCGCTTCCCCTCCTCACTCCTACAGGCCACCACGTCAGCCGCAGCATCAATCTAGGGCTGCGATGTTTCGGACGTTGCTTTATTTATGATACTATCAAAGTGTAGTTATTGGAGTTCAAGTTGCTGGGGGTTTTAATGAATATTTTATTTCAGCTGCAAACTCTTTGTGACAAAGGTCATCACTCCTTTCTGAACGGCTATCAAGAAAAAACCATAAACTCTCATATAAAAGAACTGTTTAAATATTTTATGATTTCACTGGCTTTCCCTGATTACGTATTATTCATTTTATTTAAAGTTCTTGTAATGTACACATGTAGGGTTATGCAAATAGATAACAAAAAACTACTAAAACAATTGAGACTGGGAGAAGAAAGAGGCATGTACACAATTTAAAGATGGCACAGAATGTAATCCTACAGTCCTACTTATAGCACCCATTTGCACTGTTCTAAAAATAGCTGAGTTGCAAGTGCATTTACTACGTATGGTGCAGTCTTGCCTAGAACGTGACAAGAATAAAAGGACTTGACATATATGAGTAATGATTTCCAGAATTACAATAGTTGTGGATAAAACTCTGCAGTTGATATAAAAGCCTTTAGCTTCACAGCTAAACATATTTTGAGCTGTTTGAATCTGGGAATGACTTTGATTTAAGAAGGAGGAAAAAAAAAAAAAAAAAAACACTTTCTCTACTTTCTGCTGTACTTCATCAGAAATATCCAGTAACAGATACAGTTAGACATGAGATACGGACTATATAGACCTTGTTCTAATCTAGCTTGTTTTTCCTTCTGTTCGTGGGTAGATAAAACAGCCTATCACATCAATATTTATATGGCAAAAAAACAGAGAAGTCAGATTAATAAAAGAATAATCAAGTCCACCAACCTGTCCTACGTGTAAAATAAAGCTCAACAAACACTGAGGCTATGATCTTTGAAGCACAAGGAGATAAGAGGAGTGCTCCGTATCTTCATCTACATTTCCTGGTTACAAAGCCATCTAAGTGATACAGCAGTGAATACCTCTTGTGTGAAATATCACACAAGCACAAGCTAGCAAGATATCAGTAGTGACATTACCAGAGCTTTTCAACTATGCCTTTATACGCTATCAAAAAGCACACTATTCTGCTGCTGCTGAAGCCTCTTGATTAAAGTACACAAAGCAGCTGTTTATCCTCTCACAGTAACCAGCAGGTGAACCCAGTTCAATATTTATCACAGGCTTTCACAGATCACTGCTAACCAAGCAAACGTTTTAATTAAGCTGGAACTTGCTTCAAAGAGCTCATTCAAAATGTCAATCAGCGGGTAAAGGATCAGATACGGTGTCAGGTGAGAGCATGTAATACAAATCCACAACTTTCTTCATCCCATCGTGGTAAATTAGCCTATTCTGGAGTCCAGACCCTGATTGTAACAGACTGCCAGTCTCCTGGAATGTGTAACAGAAGTCACTCAAACTCTATTGTGAAGGTTGTAAGCAATATGTTAAACTGCAATGGGCTAGCACATTAAGACAGATTCTTTTCACAGTTGTTTTTTGATACCCCAAGTGTTTGTTACACTACTCTCCATTTACTGTTTACTTTTTTTACCTAGTATAAATGGGGATTCCTTAACGCAGCTGCCCCAGTTTCTCATACAACATGCTTTGACAGAAGTAATCAAGAAAGTACCATAAGGGTATAATTTCTCATCTAAACTCACACTAGAACTGCCCTTCTTCTTTACAAGAATCAGCAGCTGAAGGACAGAAATGGATTGCCAGGTGCTAGACCGAAAGAAGCTAAGAACAAGCCACTGCTTTGAGCAGAAGGCTCCTACACCTCCTGTACCTACAGATGTTCTTTTGATGCAGCAATCCTGGGCAGCACTTCTCAGGCTCTTGCAACAACAATCCATTCTCTCTCTGCTGGACCATAAAAAGAAATACTTCACAAGAAATTCACTTTGCCTTGAATACAAAGTTGACTTCAATAAAACACAACAGTTTTTATCCAATTACAAAAAGTAAAAATGGAGGAAACCCTCTTGCAAAATCCAAATTCTATGGATTACTTTAATTTTCCTCGGTTTTACTGCACTTGGAAACAACTGCAAATTTCTTTGCAGTGCAGCAAACATTCAGATTCAATTTTCAATCGATGTGTACACCTAGTTACCATTAGTAAGAATGGCTCACGTTAAAAGTAAGGGACTTTGTCGTACATTTCCAAACATGTTCCGACTATCCTGGCTCTCTAGACTAACTTTTTTCACTGTAGTATTGGCAATATCAGCACTCCTCAGGGCAGACAGCTAGCAGCTGGGGAAGCGCAGGCCTTCTTTATGGAGAGATACCTTCTAAAGCAATAGGCAAAATGAGTTTAAGAAGGAACAAGTGTAGACTGGAATAAACCATGTGTTTATTGCATTATTGCATCATCCTAAATACATCAACAATTATAATAGCAATGGAATTACCTCTGTTGACTTTATTTCTATACTAGAAACGTAGTTTTAGAACCAACAGCCTATGCTTTAACAGTCTTTATCTTTTAAACCTAACCAGTTAAAGCAGCAGCTAAAACTATTCTGAAATAGTTTTCATAAAATTTTTAAAAAGCATTTATTTCTTAGGTCACTTTTTCCTATTTTTTTCAGAAAAGCTTAAAAAATGTTTGAAAATGACATTAATCCATATTACAACCAACAAAGCTTTTTAAAAAATGATACATAACATGATTTCAGTCTAAGCCTCTTTTTCTGTAGCAGTTGGATTTGAAACTAAGTATTCTGTTACAGCTGATTTTTTTTTCTTTTTTTTTTCTCTTGTTCCCCTCTATTTTTGGAGGCAAAATAGCTCTAACACAGAAGTATATTTTTCATCACCATCAGAGACTTAAAACATCAACTGGCAGCCCAGAAAACTCCCAGTGCAGCTCTTGGATATGTTCCAAAAATGGAAAGTGTAGAAAGAAGCCTGGACCAAAATGTCATGATAATACTTCCAGACTTACTCCATAGATAATAAATCCAGAACTTCAGTGACCATCCAGCCTAAACTGTTACTCACGTCCTAGATAACTGAGTAAATTCCTTTCTGGCCTGAAGAGATATTCTTACATTTTAAAGTAGTCTTTAAACAAGGATGTTCAGTAATAAATAGTCCTTTGTAGTATATTGTGTGCAATATCAGACCCATGGAAAGCACATTATAACATACCAGTCTACTTCAAAAGATTTAGAAGCCTGGACTCTTACTCATTTTTTTACTTAACAAATGGTCAATATATATTCAAAGTTTTCAGTTTTTTTTAACTACCTGAAATTTCTAGAACTTGTAAAACAAGTTTTTTTTTTCCAGATACCCACAGACAAAGCAAATCTGACAGTCAATGAAGGAAGAAAGGTCTGAAAATCAACAGCACACTCTGGTGGCCTTTGTATTTCATAGTATCAATTGAATTTCATTTGCAGGAAGCTTTTAAAAACCTGCTTGAAAACTGACACAGCTACCACAAAACCAATAAAAAGTATAACCTAGAACACAGATTCACTTTGGTCAAGAAAAGATTTAGCTATCAGTATCTTGAAATAATACCAAAGTGTCTGGCTTCTTCAAGTGTTTATACTAGTGTTTACACTACACTAGCAAAGTATACTAGAAAGCTGCACTTTAAGACAAAACAAACAATGATTAAAATAAAAGGTAAGACACACAAAGAGCCAAGAGCTGCTGGAAGAGGAGAAAAGAGAACTCAACTGCTTGCTGAAAGCAAGCACATTTCCAAGCATGCCTATTAAACCCTAGACTTAACAGCTGAGTTACCTACAGCATATTACCTCCAAAAAGGATGCACAGATGATGCACCCATCCTAACATGCCACCCTAATAGGAAAAGGAAAGACCATTTCAGTGTGGAAGACTGTTACACAACGAAATACTTCCCAGCAATTTCTCACCTAGCTGGCAGTGAGCACTACCTCAGAAAATACACTTTTTTTCTTTGCTAGACACTGCCATTGACATTCTCACTATTGATAGTAACAACACATCAAAGCAAAGCAAGTTACATACATGCAGTTTGGGAACCCTTACATTAATTAATGGAGTGGGATGCACACTGCATTCTGAAAATAAATTAAGTCAAGCTTTCGTGAGCATTTTCACTGCACCAAAATCATTTAAAAGTTGATCTCTCTTGAACTAGCATTCATAAGAGCTATATTACTATAATACTTACTGTTTTAGGAGAAAAAACAGGGCTTTTCCCACCTTTTTCAGCATGAACAACCAGCTCCCCATTCTTTCTCTGATGATAAACTTCTAAAGCATCAACTAACTGCACTCCTTTTGCAAAACAATGACGTTTTCTAACCTGTTGGGAGAAAAAAAAAAAAGCATTCAAATACAGTGAACAGAATTATGTGTTTACACATAATTAACGGTCAGCGGTTTTGGCTTGTGTTCAGTAAAAATTCAGTAACAAAAAAAGGTAATTTTTAACCCTAACTCAAAAAAATAAGTTGGCTTTGGAGAATGGATTACATAAAATCATCTAGTTATATCTACACAAAAAAACAGAGTACTAAATTACCAAACTGATAGCAAGCTACCCTACTGCAGGTTCCTAAACAGGTTCCTACATTGCTAAGTAAGACATACTTCTAGAATAAGCGTTATGGAAATTTTACTTTGATACTCCTACAAGCTAAATTTCAAAGTGAACCAGGCCCCCATTCTAATAATGTTATTGTTTCCACTGCAATACAATGTATTTTAGAGGCTGACCAAAGGCAGGAACATTATTTGGCTCCAACTAAGCAAATAGCTATTCAATAATAAATATTTACTGCTGAGTTTTTCTTCTATTATTTCACTCTATTACAAAAAAGGTAGAAATTATGATGATGATATAAATAGAAACAGGAAACATCCCTAACAATAAAAACACTGCACATTCAAGACACAAACACTAAGCCACATCATAGCAGTGTCAACACAGGAAAAACCATTTGTATGTATTGCAGGAGTATTTCACACAGTGGGCCAGAGATAACCACATGAAAAATCACCTAATGCAACAATGGAGGCCCCATAGTAACAATAAAAATGAACAAAAAAGTCAATTTAAATTATGACAGTGACATGACCCAAATAATCTCTATGCCTTCCTCTGAAATGTTGATTGATTTTTAACAGCTTGGTTCAGCTATGCCTGAATTATCTCACTGCCAATAGATTTTGCTCACCTGCTGCTCAGTTTCTAAAGAGCGAATCCTTTTCCTGTCTACTTGAAAATCATCATTTTCACTGTCACACACGGATGCTCTTTTTTTAGCAGACAATTTTGAAGCTAGGGTTTCAGTTTCATTATGTTCTGTAAAAATAGCAAGATCATGTCCATTACCAAGAATGCATTAAATAAAGGAAACATTTCTAAAGATATATATCATTATACATACAGTTAAAACACATGATGAATGAAATAGTAGTGGATATTTCCTGACCCATTTATCATATTTCCAAGCAGAGCAAAATCATGTACTACTATCGTAATGGCAAGAGAGTCCTATTTTACTTCTGGAACAGATTTTGGCTGTCTATCTCTGAAGCAGTATGATTTAAATTTGTTTCTTACGTTTATCTTTCTCTCCATAAATTAGATTTAAGACAAATATGGATACTGAGGTATATATATCCATGGATATGCACAGTATCCAACAAGAATGGGGGAAAAAACAATCCAGAGAAAGGTTAGACAGTGGAAGTGTAGAGATTGTGGTCCAATAGCTAGTTAAAGCCCTCTGCTAACACAATGGCTGGACAAAATAGCCACCTCACAAAATGAGGGATTTACTAAAAGTTACCTGTGTTTGTTAATGGGGTTTCAGTTTTTATGGAACTTCCTGCTTCATAACCATTAAAAGAACAAGAAGCACCATGATTCACATTTGCTGCAGCCTCTTTGCTCTGAGATTGGGAATGACATGTACAGCGACATGGCAACGAAGTCTCTGGCTTTCTGTCTTCCTTGTCACTGGATGATTTAACCAGCAACTTTTCTAAAGAAGATAAGGGACACAGTCATTTGTCTTCTCTTAAAAAATATATATGTACACAGATACATACATTAGAACAGGACTTTCAAAACAAAATGACAGATTTTGTTTAGGCTCGAGTTTCTAATCACCAGGTCTGTAAATTATACACGTTTAAAACAGAGATACACACAAGCAAACTTACTCTCTCAGTTACATACAAATGTTACATTTCAGTTACATACAAAACAGAGGTTTAGCAGATTGCTTTAAGTTTACCGAAAGCTGCCTTAAATAAGAGAAAAGGTATTAGAAACTTAAAAAAAAAAAATGCACACACATCAAAGACTTTAAAGGTCGTCACTATTAGCCACACTGAATTGCAGCTCACAATGTTGTTACCACAGTAGAATAAATATGGCAAGCTATGCAAATTACCAAGTTTTTGGATCTTTGGTCTTGTTTCTTGTACATAAAGAAGAGGCCTTCTTAAGGAAAGAGACAAATTTGAAGTGTTGGGTACACAGCCATGAGAGGCCCAACTCAGAGTCAGCAAAGAAAAGAAAAGGCATAGACACAAAAGCTTACTTTCAAATCAAGTTATTGTTTGTAAATCTTGTACTGCTTTACAGGGAACAACTGAGCAAACAGACACTGGAATAACTTACCATACAAAGATTGCTGCCACGACAGTGCAGAACAAAGTAATGCCAAACTTTTGCCACTTCCTGTGGGGCTCTCCAACAAACAGTGTTGCCTGTTATTTAGCCCCTTAACAATCTTTAAAAAGCAGAATGAGAACAAAAACATAATTAACAAAGAAAGCAAAAGGAATGGTTAACTACACTAAAGGTAACTTCTCAAAATAGACCAGGGCACTACTTGCCATTCAAGCAAACAAATAAAAATTCACTTTCAGGGATCTGTGAAATATTACAATACTAATACCCGCATTAGATAGGGATGACTTTTTCTGCAGTCTTATAGAACCAAAACATTTAAAATATGCCCCGGAACCATAATATTTGTCTTGTAAAGAAAGAAAAAAAACTTCTCAACTTAAATATAAAAATAAGAAATAAACATCATATAAAACTCCTCCTCCTCCAGGAAATTACATGAATATTACATTCTAATTAAAATACGTATTTCAGTAGAACAGTTCTTCCTTGGACAGCTAGTTAAATAGGTATAAATATTCTGCAGCATATAACTTGGTTCAGTCTACAAGTCTAAAATGGATTTCAACAGTCCAAAATATTATTACTGTTTTATAATCCACATGCCATGGATTTCTAGTCATGGTTGAGACACCACTGTACAGCACAAACAGCTACAGATGGACATATACAATTCAGATTCCTTGTTCTCCTTTTTCTAAAAGTTGATAAGAACTGCAAAACATAAACTATTACTTCAGCGAACATCGATATAAATTCTACTTACAGCATTCATCATAGCTAGTTGTGATGGGTAAGCTTTGCAAGGGAATATAATCTTCACTCCCCCAATAGTATATTCTGACACATCAGAAGGCATGGCCACTTTCACCCTGTTTATTCAGATTAATAACTGCAATGGAAATATGAGTATTAACCAGTTAATATTAACAGACACAGGAAAACCTGAAACATACAGCACCAGACAGACATAAGCAGGAAATGCTAACCTGGTAAAATATTAAGAAAACTGGAGTACAGGAATTTATACTACATGGCATCAGTTCCAACCTGGTCCTGTCACAAACAAGAGCAAGTTATCAGCACCTGATAGGTAACATTAGCAATTAAGCAATTTAGAAATAATTATGAATGAATCACAGACATCGTTCTAGATTTTAACCCATGGAGTGAATATTTCAGAGTGAAACCCAAAATCCGGGGTGAGGGGGTAGTATTTTAGGATATTTAATAACTACAAATAATCAGTTTTTCATTTCTGCAGACCACTAACTTGAGCTCCATGACACTGCAAGCTGCAGTGAAACAGCCAACAGCTGTAGCTTCCTGTAGATTCTACATACACCCTTTTATTTAGTAATAGTGAGAAAATTAAGACCAGACACTGCTTTTAAAAATAAGATGCCTCCTTTCTTATAGTACTAATTCAGTAATTACTTGGGTGGAAGTGAGCTGTCATTCACTTTATTGTTCTGGTTGCTTTACTTCCTTACATGTCTCCCTGGGAAATAGACTTCTGTATCTTGTTCAAAGAAAACAGTCCTATTTCCCCCTTCATTCTGAAAAAAATGAAATTAGTTGATTAAAAGTACTGAAGAGGGATATATACCTTTTAAAAATACTTCAGTTTTTTAGTGACATTAACTTCTCATCTACATCTTCACCATCTACAAACATCTAAAAGTGAATTTAAGTTGGCAGTCTCCCTGCAATAAATTAATTCACTAACCTGTGTCCTTATCTGACTCTGAACGAGTAAACACATGCGCCAAAAAGCCACCAGCACAGGGCGCGATTCAGCTTCATCATCGGCTTCCTCGAGGGGAAAAAGAAACCCTGGCCACAAGAGATCGCCGAAGTGAGTGTGCGGCCACCCTCTCCCTGCCACCAGCGAGGCCGCACCCCGCTGAGCGCTCTCCCCTCACACGCAGAACGCTTCTCTCACACATTTTCTGAGTTGCGGGTAAAAGATTTTTGCCTAGGGAAAAGCAGGACCCTAAGAGGGGAGCGGGTCGAGCCCGAGGTGCGGCTGCAGCCGGGGAGAACATTCCGCCCCAGCCTGCAAAAGGCACCTGGGCGCCTCTCTTCTCCACGGGAAGCGGAGAAAAGGGAGAAGACGGAGAAGCCCGCAGGGCGCCGCGTCCCCCG